GCCCACCCGCCCGCTCACGTGATAACATAATACGTCCCCGTCTTCGACGGGCGTATAAAAATTAGCAGATAATTTGCTAGTACATTTAATGTTTGAACCATGAAATCTTGTCATATTATAATTGCATGGAAACTGTTAACTAGTGAGGGGGAAGTATGCTACTTAATTACGGGTAGGTGTGGAATATGTTCACTACTTGTTAATATGTTAATGCAGGTTCACACAATTCACAATGTGATTGATTGGGTTTATCTCATTACCAGTTAAATTATCAAAAACTGATAAACTTTGTTCCACAAACAAATACACCACTGAAACTATAATTAGTATTATTTATCCACACCATTAAAATTTTGTTCAGTTTTATTCCATTTAAGAATGGATCCATATACTTATAACAAGTATTTATCTAGAGATGACAGCCATAGACCAGTAATGAGTATTTACCTGGTGACGACAGCCATATACCTGTGACAAGTATTTACCTGGTGACGACAGCCATAGACCAGTAATGAGTATTTACCTGGTGACGACAGCCATATACCTGTAACAAGTATTTACCTGGTGACGACAGCCAAAGACCAGTAATGAGTATTTACCTGGTGACGACAGCCATAGACCAGTAATGAGTATTTACCTGGTGATGACAGCCATATACCTGTAACAAGTATTTACCCTGTGATGTCAGCCATAGACCAGTAACGAGTATTTACCTGGTGACGACAGTCATATACCTGTAACAAGTATTTACCTGGTGACGACAGCCATATACCAGTAACGAGTATTTACCTGGTGATGTCAGCCTCATACAGAGATATCATACAGTCATTCTCTTCATTAACATCCAGGTACTCCACCAAACCTTCCTTCAGGAAGTCGTCAAAACTCCTGTAATAGGGAAAACAACACAACCAAATAGAGTGAGCACCAGCCTTTGTTTAACTTTCTATAAGACTCATGTTTTTATTAATACAAAAAGCAGGCAACATAATAATTGTTATACCATGGTACATTATTTATCAGAAAACCTGAAAGTTGAAATATTTGATTATTTATATCAAAATACACTATGGAGCCAGTAATATCTAAAACTTGACATAACTGTGTAACAGAATAAGTAATGGGTCAGTCTTACCTGAAACACTGGGTAAGCCTTAACTAAAGCACTGGGTCAATTTTGCCAGTCTAATTTATTTTCTTATTATTTACCTTCAATCAGTCTTGTCTGAAGCTTTACCTGAAGAGTAAGGTCAGTCTTACCTGGAGCTCTTGGTCACCCATAGCAGTTTTACTTCTGAAATCATAGGTAAGCTCTCATTTGTAAGCTCCCTGGGTTGGACTTAACTGGAGATCTGCCTGATCTCCCTGAGCTTGACAACCTGAAGACCTTGGTGAGCTCCTTTTTGTTATCTCCTGGAGTACTTACTTAAAGCCCTTGATGAGCTCCCTGTGTTACCTACCTGGAGCCCTGGGTGAGCTCCCTGTGTTACCTAACTGGAGCCCTGGGCGAGTCCCTATTTGTGAGTTCCCTGAGTTAGACCTACCTGAAGCCCTGGGTGAGCTCCCTGTGTTACCTAACTGGAGCCCTGGGCGAGTCCCCTGTGTGAGGTTCCTGAGTTAGACCCACCTGAAGCCCTGGGTGAGCTCCCTGTGTTACCTAACTGGAGCCCTGGGTGAGTCCCCTGTTTGAGCTCTTCGAGTTAGACCTACCTGAAGCCCTGGGTGAGCTCCCTGTGTACATAACTGGAGCCCTGGGTGAGTCCCTGTGTGAGCTCTCCGAGTTAGACCTACCTGAAGCCCTGGGTGAGCTCCCTGTGTTACCTACCTGGAGCCCTGGGCGAGTCCCCTGTGTGAGGTTCCTGAGTTAGACCCACCTGAAGCCCTGGGTGAGCTCCCTGTGTTACCTAACTGGAGTCCTGGGTGAGTCCCCTGTGTGAGCTCTTCGAGTTAGACCTACCTGAAGCCCTGGGTGAGCTCCCTGTGTACATAACTGGAGCCCTGGGTGAGTCACTGTGTGAGCTCTCTGAGTTAGACCTACCTGAAGCCCTGGGTGAGCTCCCTGTGTTACCTAACTGGAGCCCTGGGTGAGTCCCTGTGTGAGCTCTCTGAGTTAGACCTACCTGAAGCCCTGGGTGAGCTCCCTGTGTTACCTAACTGGAGCCCTGGGTGAGTCCCTGTGTGAGCTCTCTGAGTTAGACCTACCTGAAGCCCTGGGTGAGCTCCCTGTGTTACCTAACTGGAGCCCTGGGTGAGTCCCTGTGTGAGCTCTCTGAGTTAGACCTACCTGAAGCCCTGGGTGAGCTCCTCTATATGCTTCTGTTTGACCAGTGGCTGGCCTTCCTTCACAATGATGTATGGTCTGAAAATGAAAGAGCAATACTCAATGATAAAAAATACTGTACTGTAGAAATAATCTCAAATATTCTACAGCACCACTCCAACAAGCTCAAAGGCTTATACTGGTACAGATGATTTTTCTTCAATTTATAGTTTCTGCATTTTCAGCACAAAGTAAAGTGATTAAGTGTGTATACTGGTCAGTACATACCTACAGAGTCGGCCCCCGTCAGTAGATATGTACACACAGCGATGAGAGTGGTTAGTACACACAGAAACAAACTCGTCTATAAACCCGGCCCTCCTCATTAGCCTGAACGTCCGCACTAACTTCTTGTGGTCACGGATCACACCAAGAATGTTACCTACAATAGTGGACACATTCTTTCTAACTCTTCTGTCAAGATCTCGAAACACATTGCAAAACATGAATGAAGTTATCTTACTTCCTTGCTTCTAGAAGGTTATCTTCTCCACATGTACAGTGACACTTCCAACACACAAAAAGATAAGTAGACCCTAGTACCAGTCATGTCTCCCCTATAACCTGGTCCCCTTACTGTTAAGGCAGGCAAGATCGAACGGGAGCTGATGAGAGCTCATCATTTCACACAAGTGACCCTTCACCCTCACCATCAACACAGACAAAGTAGACCTCGGAGGTGAGAGCTGATAATTTCTCCCCATCGACCCTTTACTGTCATCATTAATGCAGACAAGTTAGATCGTAGGGATGAGAGCTTAACCTTTCACTTGACTGACCCTTTCCCCTTACCATTAAGGACGATGAGGTAGACCCTTGGACTGGTCATTTCCTCCCCAATGAACCCTGACCTTTACCATTAAGGAAGACGAGGTAGACCCTTGGACTGGTCATTTCCTCCGCAATGACCCCTGACCTTTACCATTTAGGAAGACGAGGTAGACCCTTGGACTGGTCATTTCCCCCCCAATGACCCCTGACATTTACCATTAAGGAAGACGAGGTAGAACCTTGAACTGGTCGTTTCCTCCGCAATGACCCCTGACCTTTACCATTAAGGAAGACGAGGTAGACCCTTGGACTGGTCGTTTCCTCTCCAATGACCCCTGACCTTTACCATTAAGGGAGACGAGGTAGACCCTTGGACTGGTCGTTTCCTCCCCAATGAACCCTGACCTTTACCATCAAGGGAGACGAGGTAGACCCTTGGACTGGTCGTTTCCTCCCCAATGACCCCTGACCTTTACCATTTAGGAAGACGAGGCAGACCCTTGGACTGGTCATTTCCTCCCCAATGTCCCCTGACCTTTACCATTAAGGAAGATGAGGTAGACCCTTGGACTGGTCGTTTCCTCTCCAATGCCCCCTGACCTTTACCATTAAGGAAGACGAGGAAGACCCTTGGACTGGTCATTTCCTCCCCAATGACCCCTGACCTTTACCATTAAAGAAGACGAGGAAGACCCTTGGACTGGTCATTTCCTCCCCAATGCCCCCTGACCTTTACCATTAAGGAAGACGAGGAAGACCCTTGGACTGGTCATTTCCTCCCCAATGGCCCCTGACCTTTACCATTAAGGAAGACGAGGAAGACCCTTGGACTGGTCATTTCCTCCCCAATGCCCCCTGACCTTTACCATTAAGGAAGACGAGGAAGACCCTTGGACTGGTCATTTCCTCCCCAATGGCCCCTGACCTTTACCATTAAGGAAGACGAGGCAGACCCTTGGACTGGTCATTTCCTCCCCAATGACCCTGACCTTTACCATTAAGGAAGAAGAGGTAGACCCTTGGACTGGTCATTTCCTCTCCAATGACCCCTGACCTTTACCATTAAGGGAGACGAGGTAGACCCTTGGACTGGTCGTTTCCTCCCCTATGACCCCTGACCTTTACCATTAAAGAAGACGAGGAAGACCCTTGGACTGGTCATTTCCTCCCCAATGGCCCCTGACCTTTACCATTAAGGAAGACGAGGGAGACCCTTGGACTGGTCATTTCCTCCCCAATGTCCCCTGACCTTTACCATTAAGGAAGATGAGGTAGACCCTTGGACTGGTCGTTTCCTCTCCAACGACCCCTGACCTTTACCATTAAGGAAGACGAGGAAGACCCTTGGACTGGTCATTTCCTCCCCAATGGCCCCTGACCTTTACCATTAAGGAAGACGAGGGAGACCCTTGGACTGGTCATTTCCTCCCCAATGAACCCTGACCTTTACCATTAAGGAAGACGAGGTAGACCCTTGGACTGGTCGTTTCCTCCCCAATGAACCCTGACCTTTACCATTAAGGAAGACGAGGTAGAACCTTGGACTGGTCATTTCCTCCCCAATGAACCCTGACCTTTACCATCAAGGGAGACGAGGTAGACCCTTGGACTGGTCGTTTCCCCCCCAATGACCCCTGACATTTACCATTAAGGAAGACGAGGTAGAACCTTGGACTGGTCATTTCCTCCCCAATGACCCCTGACCTTTACCATTTAGGAAGACGAGGCAGACCCTTGGACTGGTCATTTCCTCCCCAATGCCCCCTGACCTTTACCATTAAGGAAGATGAGGTAGACCCTTGGACTGGTCATTTCCTCCCCAATGACCCCTGACCTTTACCATTAAGGAAGATGAGGTAGACCATTAGCCTGGTCATTTCCACCCCAATGACCCCTGCCCCTGACCATTAAAGAAGATGAGGTGGACCATTAGACTGATTATTTCCACCCCAATGAACCCTGCCCCTGACCATTAAGGAAGATGAGGTAGACCATTAGACTGATTATTTCCACCCCAATGACCCCTGCCCCTGACCATTAAGGAAGTGGAGGTAGACCATTAGACTGATTATTTCCACCCCAATGACCCCTGCCCCTGACCATTAAGGAAGACGAGGTAGACCATTAGACTGGTCATTTCTTCCCCAATGACCCCTGCCCCTTACCATTAAGGAAGACGAGGTAGACCCTTGGACTGGTCATTTCCTCCCCACTCAGCAGCTGTATATCTTCTACCCCAAGGTTGAATGCGAGGCGAATGATTGGCCTCTCTTCATGATCTGTTGTGATGTGGGTCATCAGAGCGAGGTTTTTCACAAGACCACAGGACTAAAACACAAATACGTTAATGTATATATTTACATACATGAAGCTTTTTTATGTTTATTTGATAACTCATTACTCCACTATCTCAACAGGACAACTCATATACACTAGGGCTATGTTGACTTAATCCAATGTATTAATACTGTCCCCTTACTACAATGCAAACTATATCTTATTGGGGAAAAAACCAGCAAACTTATTTTTGATCACTTAACATTTATCTGATTATAAAACATATGTTAAGATATTACAATGTCTATTTTTTTCCAATAGAAATAAAAGAAGGATGGACACAGAAATTCCATTTTATGTTTCCACCAGAACGACACTGTGTGTGACTTACCTCCCCTTCTGGTGTATCTGAGGGACACAGCATCCCCCACTGTGAAGGCTGGAGTGACCGAGGACCACTCACTTTCCTTGTTTTCTCAAACTGAAATTTATATCAATAAAAGGGCAGTGTAAATTTAGTTTAATTCCATTTTATTAAATTACACTGCCATTATCTCTGTTACTGCTGAATTACACTGCCCTTACAGCTGTTACTGCTGAATTACACTGCCCTTATCTCTGTTACTGCTGAATTACACTGCCCTTA